TGTTTGTCTCATATGCTGCACCCCGTGTGGGCACTCCAATCACGGCCCAACGCCTGTCCCGGTGGATCGTAGGTCTCATAGAACTCTGTTACCTACTGGCGAAGCAGCCCTTGCCAGGCCCCATCCGGGCTCATTCCACCAGGGCTGTAGCCACATCCACTGCGTTCCTGAAGGGAGTACAGCTGCAGGACATCTGCAGAGCCGCAACATGGGCCACGCCGACTACATTCATCAGGCACTACGCCCTAGACGTCCGCCAGTCCACCAGTGACAGTCTGGGACGTCAGGTTCTGTCCTCGGCTAAGCAGTAAACACCTGACAGCACCCGCCGCCAGGTAAACTACTGCTCGCTAATCTCCCATTGGTGTGAAGCACAGAGACCACGAAGAAGATAAACAGGTTGCTTACCAGTAACTGGTGATCTTCGAGTGGTCATCTGTGCATTCACACCACCCGCCCTCCTGCCCCGCTGCTGTCTTCTTCTACGTGATTTGTTAGGAGATTGATGCGCGGCGGTTGGTAGGAACTGGCGGGATGTCCGTGCCTGCCCTTCTGGGCATGCTCACTGGGGCTCCTGAGCATGCTCAGTAGGGCTGGGCACGAAAATCCTTCTAAAAGAGCTTGCTAGGCACCGGCAGATCCAGTGCAGGCGCACTAGATCCCATTGGTGTGAATGCACAGATGACCACTCGAAGATCACCAGTTACTGGTAAGCAACCTGTTTTTCTCTTCATTTGTCAGCCCTTTGTTGTGCTGGCATGCCTGCATCTGTGCTTGAAGGTATTGTGAAACATCAAGCAGCCAATTCCAGTGCCTCTACAGACAATGACAGCATTCATGATAGCACACCCCAGCCTTAGGAAAGGGGTACTAATAAATATAACCAACTAAGAGAGCCGAGGTGAAAACCCCATGGGAGACGAGACACTGGTAAAGCCGTGTACCCCTTGTTTCTCTTACCAGCCGAAGAAAGTTAGACTGAATTCGTTCCACATCCTTATTAAAGGCCGTTATCCAAAGAACATTCCTGCACTACGTTTATGATTAAATACTTTAATTGCAGCCGGAATGTATTGGTTGCCTTTAGTGAAATAAAAATGAGTAAGCGCTGAAATGTTACAGTTTGCAGATTTAATCATTTCCTTCCTCTGTGGGACCCAACTAACTCTGTGATTGAAATAGATTCCAAGATATCGGAAATTTTTAACTTTTCAATCTGATTTCTTTTTATACTCCAATTTAAGAGTTTACTTGGAATGAAATCACTTCACTGTTCTGACCAATATGTCTCTGCTTCAGTCCCAGAGCCCTAGTCACTGAGATACAACCCAGCTGATTTGGGGACATTTTCCACATCTAAGGAAATCCTGTGTTTTTTCCCCTTACAACTCACACAGTCCTTGGGTATTCCCAGACCTGTGCAAGAAGCTTATGCCAACTTAACATCACGTGACCCCAGGAAGTTCTGGACCTCTGGCCAGTGGATGACTGAACGCAAAGGGGGCTCTGATGTTGGTAAGCATGCCATACAGTGGGAAGGCCACCAGAACTCTTCTCCCTGCTGCCCCTGCTCTTTCTGCCATAAAATCGGACGTTTTCAAAAACAGCCAATGAGGCTTGATTTGAGTGGATCCATATTTATTTAATCAACTGCATTTATGCTTTTAAGACTGTATTCTGGGTAACTTTATATTCTTTTTTCATCTGTTAGTTTCTCTTAATTTGGGATACTTTGGGATAGAGGGTCCTGCTATAGCAGCAACAGGATAAATTTGAGCTAAAAAGTGATGTTGCAGTTTTAGGAGGGCTTGCGATGTCACTTCAGGTTGCATAGCTGTGACTGATGTCACCAGAATATTCTAGAAATCTCCATAGTTTTACCATAGAGGGCTTTTGGGTGGGGGCTTACTAGAGTGAACCAGCAACATCACTTCTGGTTACGTGACCTGAAGTGATGTTTCAGGGCCCTTCCCAGAAGCTCCGTGGGCACTCCAAACAGAGCACTCAAAAAAGTTTCAGAGGCACTCCAAATGGATTTGCAAAACGGTGCCCACACTGTAGAAGCGGTGGTAATCGGGCTGGAGATAGGAGTGGATGGGTTCCACATGGTCCTGGCCAGATACATAAGAGCCCTGCTGGATCAGTCCAGCCTCCTGTCTTGCTTTTGTCCACACTGCCACCACTCATGCCTCTCCCCTGAGCTTATGATGATCATACATACATGCTGGGCAACACCCCATACCCTCTCCCCAGCTGGGCTTTGGTTATAAAGGGACACTGACTCGACTAGGAAGAACAACTAAATATAGCTCATTAAAAGGCTAAAATGTGGTGGGAGGAGCAAAATAGAGCTTTACTCTGTCATTTTTAAAGGTAGAGCTCAGCTCCAGCCCCCTCTCCAGATTGGCTGTAGGAAAAACGTCCATACAGAGGCTGTGTCTGCAGTGTTGTTAAGTTACAAAGGCAGCTAAGATCCTGCATTTTCTTGCAGCTAATGGCACCGAGACAGTTGCCCGGGAACTACCCGATGGCAGCTACACCCTTCATGGTTTGAAATGGTTCACATCAGCCACTGACTCGGACATAAGTCTGACCTTGGCGAGGGTCATGACTGCTGAGGGGCAAGTAAAACAGGTCAGTTTCCCAGGAGAGACTGGGTAGTAGAAGAGACATATGCATAAGCAGTAGCATATCTACTAGTCCTTCATTGCTTCCTGTCAGGGTTTCTCATGTGAGCATCTCTCTGGATACAGGGCTCTAAAGGCCTATCTCTGTTCTACCTGGAAACACGGGATAAGGAAGGGAAGCTGAATGGAATCCAGATACAACGGCTGAAGGAGAAGTTGGGCACGAAGCAAGTGCCGACAGCTGAGCTCTTCCTAGATGGAGCCAGGGCGCACCGGGTAAACCTCTTATCTCTTCTGCCTAACTCAGTGAGATGGTCAAAGATCATGCTTTTGGGAAGAACAAGGTCTCTGTGAATTCTGTGCCTACAAGGGCAGCTATACAGGAGCTGAGCCTGATACCCAGTGATGAATGTAGTATGCTCCAAATTGTTTTTTAAAGGAAAAGTAAGCTGCCACTTGAAAAGAGGAGGAAAAGAAGTTGCCTAGTTGAATCTCCCAGTACCCAGAGGCAGGCTGAACAGGGCTTTTGTGCATGTTTGTGTGTGACAGAGAGAGGTTCAGCATACTGTGCAGCTTCCATGTAACTCCATCCGTCTGTCTGTGATCTCACTCTTTCATAACTCACATCTTTATCAACATATTGCATTTTTTAAAATAATCAAGGTTCATTGAAGGCGTTACATTTTAAAAACCGCTCTCACTTTCCCTTTCCTTCGTTTCATGGCATACAATCCACTCTTGCCCCTCCCTGCCATCTTTGATCTTGAAGAGCGTACAAAAACATGCATTTACCTGGGCATATTTTCTTAATTTGCATAATTCTGGCTGCAGAATTTGGTGGTGGTTACCACTACTCTCTGTATAGGTCATGCCCAGGGTGGAGATTTAGATAGGGTTTAATCTGTCTAGAGAGCACAGCGGAACAGGAACAAACAGAATCCATGTGCTGCCCTATTCTTGACAGAGCATCCCAAAACATAGTCTAAGCTGTTACTTTGACGCTTCCAGATCTCTGCTGAGGGTCGAGGTGTGGCCTCCATTGCTAACATGTTGACCATTACCAGGATCCATAATGTCATCTCTGCAGTTGCAAGCATGAGAAGGTAATTTAAGTACCATATTTCTGTCCCCTACTGTGCTGCAGTCTTTTGTGTAGAGCCAAAGGACCTGAGCATAGCAGCAAATTGATTCAGAAAATGCATCTTTCAACTTCCTGGCCAGTTTGGTGTAGTGGTTAAGTGCACGGACTCTAATATGGGAGAACTGGGTTTGATTTCCCATGCCTTCACTTGCAGCTGCTGGATGACCTTGGGCAAGCCATGGTCCTGGCACAGCTGTTCTAGAAAAAGAGAAGTTTCTGTCAGAGCTCTCTCAGACCCACCTACCTCATCGAGTTTCTGTTGTGAGGAGGGGCAGGGAAAGGAGTTTGTAAGCCACTCTGAGACTCCTTTGGGTAGTGAAGGGCGGGGTATAAATTCAATCCCTTCTTCTTCTTCCAAATCATCATAGAGTTTCAGAACTAGCTTTCTAAATCATTGCAATACAATGAGGGTTCAGTTCATCCATTATCATTTCTATTTGTTTACAAATAAATAGTTGCTTAATTTTATCTTTTGAGAAAAAGACAGAAGACATTTCTTCTTGAAAATGGGATAGGTTGTTACACTGACAGCAGGTCACACAGATAATGAGGAGGCAGGATGTTTCTGCAAAGTTTTGAGCACCGAAAACTGTACCCCTCAAGTGGAGGACTCTGACCATCATAGGTGAGACTGCTGCCTCAGATGGTGCATTTTAGGTGCTCTTACAGATGGCAAAGTGGGAGATGAACAAACCTGCACAGTGTGGGGAACAATCTATTGGCAATTTCTTCTGAACAAGCCTTCATAAAATGAATAGGTGCTGTTCAAGAGCACAGTATAACTCTTGCACCATTCCGTTGATTCCAGCGATCCTTTCACTGGAGAATTTCCCAAACACCTGTGGCCTAGCGTAATCAGAAGGTGATGGTGAGGGATTTTCCTCCTCAGGTATGAAAATACCTTGGACGTGATGTTCAATATTCTTGCACCATTCCGTTGATTCCAATAGAACTTTCACTGGAGAATTTCCCAAACGCCTGTGGCCTAGCGTAATCAGAAGGTGATGGTGAGGGATTTTCCACCTCAGGTATGAAAATACCTTGGACGTCTCCGGGAGCTGTCCCTTGATAGAAAGCAAAAGGCCTGAATCCAATGTGCTACTAAGGCAGGAGTCCCCAACCTGTTTGAGCCTGCGGGGGCACCTTTGGAATTCTAACAGTGTGCTGGGTGTAGCCACAAAATAGCTGCCATGAAACAGCTGCTGCAGCTTAACGTCAGTCACACAGTGAAGATCCTTCTGCTGTGGTGGCGGCTGCTGTCAAACCAACGTTTTTAAAAATCTGCACAGCCAATCAAATCTTTGATGGTCAATCAGAAACCTTCCTGAGCAAAAGCCGCACCTGGTCCCTCCCACTTCCTAAACACACTTAGTGGGTGCCAGGCAAGGTGTCAGCAGGTGCCATAGTGCCAATGAGCACCATGTTGGGGAGCCCTGAATGAAGGTATGGAATAGGATCGTGAAATGCATGCATGAATCCTTGTTGACTTCTTCCACTCCCATTCCCAGGATGATCACTATGGCAAGGGACTACGCCACCAAGAGGGAGGCCTTTGGGAAGCCCCTTAAGGAGCACCCCTTGCACATACAGACCTTGGCGCGAATGGAGGTAAGCATTCTGAAGGGCTGGTTGCCTGTGGCCTTGGCTACTTAAGGGGAATGCAGCCATGTAGAGTTATCATTGAGCAAGACTCTAGGGACAAGCCCCTTCCCACCGGGATCACAAAGAACCTGCCTTTGGAGACTGCCCGACCCCTAGGACCACTGGAGAACTGCTCTTTTTGATAGGGACCAATAACCACTGAACAGCCTTCAGCAGTGGTCAATGGACGATTAACTGGGCCCTCTCTGTGAGCCTGCTTCTGATCAGCTGCCTGTGATTCCCCTCCCCTCTTAAGCTACGGTTGCGGAGTCCCAGCAACACAAGTGGCACTTATATAATCAATCAAAACAGTGAATTCAGTGAGTTTAAGGATCTTTTCAAGCCTTCGGTCATTACTCCCAGCTGCCTGGCTCTGGAGGAAGTCGTCAAACATGTGGAAGGATACATGCCAATATGCGTGGCTTTTGACCTTCATCTATCGGATCAAACTGCCAGGGCTGAAATTGACCATAACTGTTAGATTTAGCTGATGTAGTACAGCGGCTAAGAGGGTGATTTGTGAAATAGGGTCACATGAACCCAGCAGCTGGGATCCCAGGTGGGTCCTGCTTTGCTTTGATCTTTTGTAAAATCACTGTACGTAGCATTCACTCACACAAACATGAAAAAAGAATACAATAGTGGCCTCTTAGTATACAGGGTAATTTGTAAAGATTAACAACAGAATGCCCACTAAGCATTCTGGGACCCACCCACCCCCCGTCTATATAAATTGTCAGTATTACTGGAGGGATGTTGATTGTGTGGCCAGCAGGTATACTGCACAACAGAAAAGCATGTGCTGGACAATGTAGAACACTTGCCGGGAAATATTGCAACCATTTTCAATGTTAGATCAGCAGTTTTGTCCCATAATTCAGAGGTGGTTGGTGAGGCCAAATCCCCTGAATATAGACCGTATCTGTATTTCTAGCTTGGAACTGATCAGATGGAGACTGCTTAGTTCTCTGCTTTAACTTTTTTTTTTACATCCCACAAACCTTCTTGACTGTACAGGTGCAAGTCCGAGGAGCATTCCTCCTTCTTATGGAGATAAGCAGACTGCTTGGGCTGGAGGAAACCAACATGGCCACTGAGCAGGAACAGCACATCCTCAGGTTGCTCACACCTGTTGCAAAACTTTACACAGGAAAACAGGTAGTGTTCCATGGCCTAAACTTGGCCTTTTCCTCCTGTGCTATCCTGTACTCTGAAACGTAAAGGGAAGGAGTAGAAGCCATAGATGAAGTGTGAACCTGTTCAGTGCCCCACACCAGATTTGGTTCTCTGTTTATATTTAAGGACAAAATGTTAGCAGCAACAATTCCTTCAGCCTCCTCTTATCTGGCTTCAGTCTCAGCCTAGCTTGCTTTTTTGATCCGAGTTTCACCTATAACTGTTTCCATGCCCTCCACAACTATAAGTGTATGATGGAACAGCTGTAATAGTGCCTATCCCACCCCTCGACTAAACATAGCAGGCCCTGGCCTGGATAGCCCAGGCTAGCCCAATCCTGTCAGATCTCGGAAGCTAAGCAGGGTCGACTAGGGCTAGTATTTGGAAGGGCGACCTTCAAGGAATACCAGGGTCATGATGCAGAGGCAGGCAATGGCAAACCACCTCTGACACATCTCTTGCCTTAAAAAGAAAGTCCAGCTTGCCACCTAGTGGTACATACTGCTAAAGAGCTAGAATTTCTGGCCGCCAGGCAATCTTAGGATCTCCTGGCAATGCTACACACAATGCCATACCATAATTGTTAATTATTAGCAGGCACCACACTCATCATACACAATGTATGTCAGTGACCCAAACGTAAGCAGCAGGACAGCTGAGAGTAGAGAGGCGATCTCCCTGTCTGCAAACTATGTGGGATGTACACACCAAAGCACAGTCCAATTTTGCAGGCTATTGCTGTTAACTCAGAAGGGCTGGAGTGTTTTGGAGGGCAGGGCTACATGGAAGACACAGGCCTCCCAGCTGTTCTCCGGGATAGCCAGGTAAGGAAAGACCTAGTAATGTGGACTGTTGCTTTTCTTTTTTCTTGAGCTGCTTCTTGAAATGTTACAGGGTCAGAGGAAGAAGGGGAAAGGTTTGCATTACCGAATTCCAATGCTTTGTATGGTAATTATTTGAAATACATATGTGCTTCCTCTCCCCTTCCCGGCTGCTTGTACCCCCTCAAAGTTTCAGATCTTGTTTTCCTTGCAAACACTAGAGTTTGGAATGCAAGGCTGCACCCCCTCCACTAGAAGAGCCTTCTGTTGAGAGGACTTTGCACTGCAGAAGGGAGCTTGTCATGCCTTTATTAGACATGGAGCAGTGTAACCATCCCCCCCCCCCATTCACTCCACACAGAAAAGACTCTTGCCAACAGAATTTATCACAAGGGAATTGTAGCTGTCCCTCCAGTCCTTTACTAATCCAATCTCCTTCAGCAATCTATATTTTGGCCACTGCTTTCATCTGCTGTGGGTGGGAACCTCAATGAATCTCACTTTCCCATACGATCAATTCACTTGAACAGTTTCAGTTCTGCATCTCCCTTCCCATAACAGGTGCTGACCATCTGGGAAGGAACAACCAATATCCTTTCCTTGGATGTCCTCCGCTCCCTCATCAAAAGTCAAGGAAAAGTGCTGGATGCATTTTTCTCTTCTGCACAGGTGAGTGTATGCTATTAATCTGCCCCAGGGGGTCGTCGCTTGCCTTACTACTGCACATGTTCAGTTTGCAAATGAGCCTAGCAGCAATGTACCAAACCAGGTGCCAAGTAAATCCAAGCAGAGGTGCTGCAGCTGAACAACCTGGGCCTTGGCAAGTTTGTCTTCTCAAAGAAAAGGGAAGAATTACGTTGTGGCATCTATTCTGCTGCTACCCTGAGTCAGAAATAGTCAGATCTTGTACTCAACCTTGTGTGAGCAACTGCAATCAAGATTTAATGTAGCATCACTGGGGGAAAGACATATCTAAACAACAGGAATCCGAATCAGGGTAGCCAGGTATACTTTTCAAGTAGAAGTGGAGTTAGCACACTGCTTGCAAGTAACTTCAGCGCATTAGTATGAATGATGGGTCTGGAACTGAAAAGGAGCAGAAGAGCAAAAAGCACAATAATAAGCTCTTCCAAGGTAACCTTCTGGTGATGGCCACTACCTCGGAAAGTTATTTAAACTATTAGATGAATACATGGAGAATAACAGCTATGAGCCAGGACAGAAAAACGGAATCTCCCTGTAGCGAGATAATGGAATAAATGGCACTTCCTTCAAAACAGCTCTTTCTAGTTACAGTGATTGGGGTTGGCCAATAGCAGTTGACCTTTGGAAACTCAAATGTGTCTGGTTTTCTTACAGGCCAAATTGGAGGCAGCTTTCAGCCGCTCTGAACTGAAACCTTCTGTACAAACAGCTCAAAGTGCTCTCCACAAGCTTGGCCAGTTTGTTCAGAAAGCCGGCTCGAAGGGGGAAGCAGGGATGCAGCTGGCAGCAAGAGACTTTGCCTACACTCTAGCCCGGATATATGGAGGTAATGAGGATACAGTTAAAGCAACCCTTTGCCAGTTGTTACAATTTAGAAGTGACAAAAGTTATTGTAAGAGGCAAACATATGGCCCTTAGATCATAGCTGTGGCTTACAGGAACAGGAGATGCATGCATCACTTGGGTTATTAGAAATCAAGTCACATTTCTAGGAACTTGAATGAAAATGCACCCAGTAGGTTTCCTATTTATTCCCATACCCATCTTTGCACCAACTAATTTACATATATAGATTTTAAACCTTGCGTGAACAGATAATCCATTTTGGTTGTGCTCTATCACACACTGTGCTGGCTGTACTTTGGAAGTGAGACTCTTGTTTGAGTCAAGAACTCAAAAATTTTTTGTACAACTGACTTAATTCTTTTTGCATTCTCCCCAGTACATATTGGAGGAGGAATCAATTTCTAGTAGCAGGGTTTCTTCCTGGTTCTTCCAAGAAATTCCATTCTTTGCATCACTTACATTCAGGTCCTTTTCCACACTTCTCTGGGAAGATTCCCCTTGCTTTCTGGATGTATGTCCACACTTATTATTTTAAAATAATTAGTTATAGACTCACTGTGCAGGCTTAGGGGAGAAGAGCATTATGCAATTATAATTATAGAGAAAAGCATTATAGACTTACATTTACGTTGCTTCCATAAGGAAGTGTGCACTCTTTACTCTCACCTGTTCCCAAGCTCATGAAGCTTTTGCCCACAGAATCGAACTTGTCACAGACAAAGCATCCATGAAGGAGACAGCACCAGAACTTTGGATACTGTCGCTTTGATGACACCGGATTAGGTGGAGGGGGCTAAATCCTTGGCCTATAAAAGCCGACATTCACCAGAGCAATTAAGCTGTGAGGGGTAGATACCTCCAAGACTGCTAGTCTAGTTTGGAAACATTAATAATGCATTTGCTCCTTGCAGGAGTGCTTTTATTGGAATATGCCTCCAGGCCCAATGCCTCAACTACAGACGTTGTTGCTGCTCAGAGGTACCAAATACACCTAATTTTCTCTCCTACCCCCCCCCCCAATTGACTAAGCTGCTGTGATATCACTGAAGGACAGGGGCAGTCACGAAACACTGACGTCAGTACAGCTGTTGTGAAGAATGAAGGAGGCCGATTTGATTGACACAAAGCCCTCTCTCTGGGGCCTCAAGGCAGAAGGGGTGTGTACTGCCAGAGAGAAAGATGGGAGAGTATGATGGTTAGACTCATGCAGGGTCTGAGACAGTGGGCTGTGTAATACTGGTGGAAAGGGGATCAAACAGATTCTCATTCCCCTCTTCCTCTTACATTGCCTCCCTCATGGCATTGGCTGCTGCTTGTTCCCCATCCTGTCCTCCCTGCCAATTATACACCTTTTTCTTCCTTTGCTGACTCTTCATTCCCAAAGTCATTAATTGATTTCATTCACCCACCATTTTTTGTTGTCTTCCCCATTTTCTGCTTTCTCTTTTTATCTTTTCTGTTCCTTCCCACCCCCCACCTGACTCTAAGCAAGGCTTGGAATGCTCAGCAATGTTGCTTACCAACTCCCCAAATAGCTACCAAAATCTCACAATGTAGTCTCATATCTTAAAGAAGCAGGCATTATTAAAATTATGGTTCTGTGACCCTAATGTACTTTTAAAACATGTAATATTTTTCTGTAACCCGAGGTTCCTCCAAACTGGTAGGAAAATCCCGATCTGTCCCTGGACCCACAGTGTATGATTTTATTTTATTTTTGGATCCACACTCCATGGCCTGGGTCAGAATTAGATGATTACAAGTGGGAGACCTGTAAGGATTTATGGGGGGATTTCCTGTTTCCCTTCTCCTTGCAAGTTGTTGCAGCCCCCATATCTTCACCTTTCCGTAATTCCATCTATCCTTCCCACCACCCTCATATTTTCCTTTTACCTGCCCCACATCTTCAACCATATCTATTAATTTATACCCCACCCTTCTCCACAATGGGGATCAAAGCAACTTACATAATTATCCTGTGCTCCATTTTATTCTCACAGTCACCCTGTGAGGTATATTACACAGTCAGTGACTAGCCCAAGATCGCCAAGCAAGCTTCCATAACGTTCAGACTTGGGTCCCCCAAACCTTAGTTTGAAATGGTAACCACTACACCACACTGCACTCTATAACAAATTGCCCTGTGGCTGCTGCTGGGGCCAGCCCCAATGAATCCTCCCCCAAAAGCCAAAACAGCCCTGGAAAAGGCCTGCCTTCTCCTTGTCTTTTACTGACAGAAATGAAGGCTTGAAGGCTGGCAATACTGTACACTTGCTAAACAATGAGGACAAGCATTTCTTAAATTTACAGGGGCCGCTTCTATTATTGGGTTGGGATTTTTTTAAATCTACATAATGTATGTGTGTACTTCCGGATTTTTCTGCAAACCTGGGGTGTTTTTCAGGTTTGTCTGAAAATGATCTGTCTCATCTATTCATGGCTCGTCTCCAGATTTAAGCATCCACATTGAGAATTATATATACTGATGACAAGAGACAATGTTTTCTAGTTCAGCATTAGTTCACAACAAATCAAAGAAACACTGAAACAAACCTTAAATCTGAATTGCAGTTTCAGCTTAAATGGGACAAATTTATTGCTTTTCCCGTAGATGGTGCCACCAAGAGCTTTGCCCTATAGACAGAGAAGACAAAGTCGGCTCATACAACACTGAAGCACCTTTTCTTGATCTCTCTTTGGTTTATGATGGAAGTCCAGTTCTGCAAGGAAAATTGTGACAGAGAATCAAAACATTCCGTGCACCTGCTTGGAATAAAAAGCAACTGGTGGTGCAGACACAGTTCTGTGTATCTGATAAAACAAAGCCATGAAATGTAATGGTGATTGTTGGCGTGAATGAATGAGTGCATGCCCCACAGCACTGACTAATCTTCCTCTTTCTAGCAATGAAATAAAAGTGCCCCAAATATTGTGAACTTTAGTTAGGTAGAAAAATTTTATAGTTCTAATTTAAAAAGAAGCCTTCAAAAGTTTTTAATCTGCTGCCCAGAAAGCAAGATTTTTGTTGAAGTTGGTGATCCTAGTGAGGCAGCTCCATCTTCCTGGACTCACATGGCTTCAATAATGTAAGAAGGCTCTGGCCTTGATAATTTCTTAGTGCAGCACTCAGCACTTAAGAGACAATCAAGTCATATTCATTTCCAAACAAGGAGCATTACTTCATGTGGTATCTGGACGAGGTGGTGGCAAGAATAAAAAATCTGCATGTACTGACTTGCAGGCCTACCACACCCCATTTCCTTTAACCACATCTATTAAGACCCACCCCCTCCCAAATTTGGCCATACCTCCTTCTTTAAAGAAACAGATACTAGGATTTATTGTAATGTAATTGCACTGGGTTAGGGCTGTGCTATGTGGGTGAGGCTGAAATTTTTTCCTCTAACATATGCTAAAATAGCTACTCTGAACAACAGGGGTGATCTAACTGAGCTTATCTGCTGTTAAATGTTAAAGTTTCTATCCTACTTTTTGCTGATGATGCCGTTCTATCAAGAAGAACATCAGGACTGTCGTCTCTGATAGAAGCTTTTGTCTCTGGAAGAACGCCTGATAGTTAACTATCAAAAATCCAAGATGGTTTCTTTTGGGGGGAAATCTCATGTATACTACAGCTGGAGAATTCATGGTAATGATATTGAGGAGGTCCCCTATTTTAAATATTTAGGGGGTCTGGTTTGACCAGAGATTAACTTGGTCAATGCAAGCTGCTCGTATTAAAAGGTTGGCTACAGCAGCATCTAATATTATCTTTCTTTTATTCATCTGGGGCTCAATATATCCCAGCCACCATCAAACTGTTTAACGCCAAGGTGGCCATGCAAAATTTATATGGGACTGGTATCTGGATGGACAAAATAGGGGAGTCTTTTGATCTAATTCTTCTTAAATTCCAACATCCAAGAGGGCTACCTCAGCTTAGTCAGCGAGGACTCTTATGTTTCCCACTGGGATAAACTTGTCGAGCAACAACTATAGTTCCTCAATCCCAGTATGAAAATTGTATTGCCACTGAATTTCCCTACTCCACTTTAGTGTATAACAAATGGGTATGTAGGTAAGACACTCAAAACCAAGACAAAGTGCCTGTTCTGGCAGTGGAGGTACATCCCATGTAATTGCAGAATGTTACAATTACTCGAGATTTTTCAAAAAAGAAAAAAAATGAATTTGGGTGGATAGTGGGAAAGCAGTCTCCTTCTAGACAGCACTTTTCAACATGGGCAGACAAAAGGAAACTGAAATGTGCTTTAGTCTAGAGAGGCTAGCAAAACAGACTATGGTCTACTGCCTAATTGGTAGAGGAATACCTTGAGCCTCCTGATGGCCAGGATTCTTACAAGGGTTGCTGGGCAGAACTTGGGCCATTCTAACAAAACAACTCATACATTAAGCAAGGGGATCACTTTACACAGATTAGTTACACCTTAAGAGGACCCCAGAATGCACATTTGCTTTGTAACCTCTGCACACATTGGTAGACCATGAGGATGCTAATAAAGTTAAGTCCACTGCTGCCTTATTCTAAGTGTGCCACTGCATGTTCTCTAACGCTATCCCATACATTTTGAGTACTGTCCATGCTTTTCCTCCTGGACTACTTTGTCAGCAAGGACAAGAGAAGTGCTGCCAGTTAGCTTTGGAGGGCACAACCTGTAAACCTTCGTTTGACAGAAAGCCCAATGTAATCACTGATGATTCTCAGTGGCAAAAACAGCTTCTTGGTAAGACTGGATGGAAGCTGAAGGAGACTGAATTCTGTTAGCCTGCTTTTTACTTTATATACTGGGGTATTTACCTGAGGAAGAACATTTTTGTTCAAAGCTTCCTGTGAAATTTAGAATCCAACTTGAAAAGTCCGTCTTTCTTGCACCTGCCAGGGCTCTTTTTGTAGCGGGTACTCATTTGCATATTAAGCGACACACCCCTAATGTAGCCAATCCTCCAAGAGCTTACAGTAGTTCCTGTAAGAAGAGCTCTGTAACCTCTTGGAGGATTGGCTACATTAGGGCCCAATATTATTTTATTATTATTATTTATTTGATTTTTATCCCACCCTCCCGCCAAAGCAGCTCAGGGCGGCTTACAACAATAAAACCAACAAAACAATACCTCTAAAACAGTCTATACAATGCATTAAAATCAAAATTTACATACAGTACAACATACTCATGGCGGCAGCCATAAAGTGCTTTCATGCTTGGTCTAAGTTATTAAATGCTTGGCGGAATAACTCCGTCTTCGCCGCTTTCCGGAACTGGCCGAGATCCCGGAGGGCACGGATCTCATGAGGGAGCTGGTTCCATAGTATTGGTGCTACCAAGGAGAACGCCCTAGTTCTAGTCGATGTTAATTTGGCATCCCTAGGGCCAGGGGGGACCAGACGGTCCTGTGACTCAGATCTCAGTGCTCTTGGGGGAACATACGGGAAAAGGCGGTCCCGCAGGTAGACAGGCCCCAGACCATAAAGGGCTTTAAAGGTCATAACCAGCACCTTGAAGCGTATCCGGAACGCTATTGGCAGCCAGTGCAGCGCCCTCAGCACCGGTTGGATGTGTTCCCTCATAGGGGATGGCTGCTACCTGGGCCTCCATTGTCAAGGAAGCATCCAGGAGCACTCCCAAACTCCTGACCCTCGGAGCTGGCACCAATGGCGCCCCACCGAAGGCCGGAAGTGGGACCCCTACCCCTGTACCACTCCAATTCAGGCATAGGACCTCCGTCTTCGTTGGATTTAGTTTCAGTCGACTCTGTCCGAGCCAGTCCGCTACATCCCGCAACGCCCGGTCCAGATTTTCCAGGTTAGAGCCAGACCGGCCGCCCAACAACAGATAGAGCTGGGTGTCATCAGCAGATTGATGACAACCCAGCCTATGCCTCCGGGCAATCTGGGCAAGGGGGCGCATATAGATGTTAAACAACATCGGCGAGAGCACAGCTCCGTGGCACTCCACACTCTAGTGGGTGCCTCTGGGATGTACTCTCGCCAAGCGCCACCCTTTGTCACCGACCTTGGAGGAAGGAGACAAGCCACTGCAAGGCGAATCCCCGAATCCCCACGTTGGCGAGGCGGTGGGCGAGCAACTGGTGATCGACCATGTCGAACGCAGCCGACAGGTCCAACAGCAGAACCACTGCTGTCCCGCCCCGATCCAGATGCCTACGGAGGTCATCCGTGAGGGCCACCAGTGCTGTCTCAGTCCCGTGGCCCGGGCGGAAGCCGGACTGGAACGGATCCAGCGCGGAGGTGTCATCCAGAAAGGCCTGCAACTGTGCCGCCACCGCCCTCTATTACTTTGCCTAGATAAGGCAAATTGGAAACCGGCCGGTAGTTAGCCAAATTGGCCGGATCCAGTGCTGGTTTTTTAAGGAGAGGGCGGACTATCGCCTCCTTGAGAGCCTCCGGGAACAAGCCCTCCAAGAGGGATCTGTTCACAATATCCCGAAGAGGACCTCGCAACCCCTCTCGGCCAGCTTTAATCAGCCAAGAGGGGCACGGGTCAAGGCTGCAAGTAGTTGGGCGCACAGCCGAGATCAATCTGTCAACCTCCTCTAGACTGAGAGGGCTGAAACAATCCAGAATGGGACCAGAAGACGTGCTAGGAGCCTCGAGTTCACAAAGGAGTTCCTGCTACAAAAAGAGCCCTGGACCTACTGGTTTGCTCTTTCATAAACTTTTAGTGTGGTATAGCTGGCCATCCTGGATACAGTTCATCACTGAATATACACCGACCAACTGCTCAGAGGAAATGGATGGCAGGCTCAGGAGAGACTTCCTGCAGCTACAACATCCCTCTACCTCTGCTCCTGCCAAATTTTTAACAAAGCACTAAAATAGGATTTCACTATGAACAATGAATCTATAAAATGGTTAAGGAGTTCTGTATTTGCAGCCCCTACTGTAAACTGAATCACACAGGCATCAGGAACTTTTAGCTACATAAAATGAATTCTGGGGAAATTTTTGTATAAGAACAGCAGACATATAAGCTAACAACACAAAAACCTTTACCAATGCTAGTCTAAATCTGGCCACTGTACATGCTGTGCTGTGCTGTGCTGATCTGCCAAGATGACCATACTCCAAGGCTTGGATCCATGGCATGCACAGCCTGCCACACGGATTTTGGCACACTTTATTTTACACACTGGACACAGCCATAAAGCCTTTGAAACAAGGAGAGAAGAGCACAAGTCTTGCTACATGAGCCTGCTATTTGCTGCCCTCTATAGGTGGAAAAAATAATATTGTGTTCAAAGTCTGAGATCTCTCCCATCATCCATTAATTCCTTTTCCTATCCTTACCAAAGGAAGTAGTATGCAAGTCCAAGGCCAAATTCCGTGTGTCCAGTTACAGATTAACTGGACATTAAGTCCTTTCTCTTGGTATGCTAAGACAGTGTCTCAGCAAAACCACCATGTAACCATTTATGGAACATAAAGTGAACGTTAACTCTCAAGATTTGGCACTGATGACTACTTGCAAAGCTGGTTAGAACAGTAGAAAGCATGCTCTGCTCAAAATATGCATTTAGGCTGTAGACAGGGACTTGATTGACTTTGTCCCTGTACAGTGCTTAGAATCTTACAAGTATTTTTAAATAAGTGGTGATGATGATGAAATGTTGCAAACAGAGGATCCCCAATTTAAGCTTATGCAGCTGTTTCCATTTGCAGTTGCAAAAATCAGCAGGGCCAAAGGTTCCTAAAAATGTGTGATTACTCACTGGATAGCTAGTTCATCCAGCTCCACAGATGGCTGAGAAACTATGGCAGGGGTGGGCTGGTAACAGTAGCCTCATCACATAGCCAGAGAATACAGATAATTGGTTCTTGATGCAAGGCTTTTCTATAACATGAATGTTCTCATGAAGCCACCGAAAGACTTGTTACACATCTGGCACTGGCAGACAGACAGTGCTTTCTACAACAATAGAGTGGAGGGAGAGAAGGGGGGGACTTCAAGCACTGAGATTCCTGCCAAAACATGGTAGTTGAAAGGGAAGTGCTAGGAATAACTCCAGGCTTATTCAGAGATATATAGCTACATGTAATCAGAAAAATACTTATAGCATGAAACTGGGAACACCGGAATGGCTGCTTACAGCAGCAGATACCACTCCCTGTGCCCAATGGTAGCTCTTTATACACTCATTTTTGAGGTTTTGAATTGTAAGAGAATGAGGTGGCAGAACAGACTAGTTGATGGATTCCATTTTTAATGTTACTCCACATTAAAAAAAAGCCCTAGATGCAAATAGAAAATCCGCACAATAGGGAGAAAGCTTCTACCCTGCTCTTCACATGCTATGGTAATTTTCTATTTACAGGGAGCTTTTTACATAAATCACTCCAAATGTGAACTTCCAATACTCTCCATTTGCATTCTAAGATGACACAGTCCATTCTATCAGTGCAGCATTCTACTGCCATAGCCTCAATTTCTGCATGTGTAAAAAAAAGGCCTAAATAACTGCTCCAGGGGTAGGAATTCTACACTGCACTGAAGCAGGATTTAAGCAGTCAGAAACTGGACTCTTGCTCTCCACGTACTTTTGGATTTGTTGAGATTGGGGGGGGGGGAAACCTTTGGACCAACTTTTAAATGTAATGGCGATTAAAATGGACAGAGAAATCTGAAGAATTAAAATGCTATTTGGTTCTTAAGCAAGAAATGAACAGCAGGGCTTCTTATACCAGAAAACCACAACTAATCACTTGGCTTATGAAGGCAGCAAGCACCCCACCCTGGGCATTCTGTGCTACCGCTCTCAAAGGCATGTGTCACTTGTAGGGAAGCAGGCACCAAGAACACACACTGTCACCAAATACCAGGTGGGTTTTCTGAGCCTAGAAAGGGCAAATCAAAAGTAGGAAGCAGGTCAGCAAATGCTCCCATGCAAAACTCTAAACTTTATTTACTTTTATTTATATATTTAACAATTCTAAAGTATTTACGTCTTGCTTTGACAAAAAACTGAAAAATATAAAGGAGCAACTTTGCTCCTCTTTAGGAAAGGGTTATATATACAGCTATGTGGAGATAGTTTCCTGCTTTACATACAAAGAAAAATATTAATAAAAAAGTGCTTCATTCATCAAAAAAGACTAAGAGCTGCAAGCGTTTATTCACACTGTACATCACAGACCCCAAAAACCCGTATCAGAACCTCTTGGCACCTGTCATTATGAACTGCAAAATATCAGACTTTGTTCTCACCATCTACTTGTACCAGAAAACCACGCAGCCATCCATGTGTAATGCAATCCCATTTCCCTCCAAAATAACAACAACCCCCCCTGCATTAATGGACAGATACAGAAAAATTCTGTACTTTCTCCCATTTTTTGTTCCAGCAGTCTCTGCTGTACCTGGAACTGCAACCTCTACAGATATAATATGCATTACTGCATAAACCCCAATAATTTCATTTGATATTTTTAGAAGTCCAAATTGGAATTTGCACTAATCCTCCCTATTGGAAGAAGTGTGAAGAATACCAGGAAGCTAGAGCCCATGACTGCCTTAAAGATAAAACGACTCTTCTACACTAGCCTTTTGGGATCCTGGTTTGCACCCCACCCCCACTTCAAACACCTCCTTTGTATTGTGTTATAGACAACATATGCTCTTTTCTCAAACAACCTGGACAATTCAGACATCAAAGAGTCACAGATGTTGACACACCCGTTCCACAGATCTTTCGGATATTCCAAGACAATCTCAGCCTTACAAAATTCAGTTCCCAAAGCCATCACTGTTGCAATACACAGAGGCAAAATTCCTGTCTTTGCAGTAGATTCTTTGTCTGTGGGTTCTTTTCTTAGTTGGTCCACACATTTATGACACTAGTGCTGCAGGAAATGAACTCCCTATGGTGGCTCCGCCTCCTGTGCAGTTCAGGCACACCACGTGAAGAGTTTTCAAGCCATCTTTGTGGCAGCTACTGGCTCTGATGTGAAAACTACTAGCACAGTTCACAAGAACGCTATGCAGAGTATTACTGCATCAAGCTAACCACGCCACTGTGGGAGAAGCCACTACATGGATGCCATTCCAAGCAGTAACAGTGTAGCATGGAAACATGCAGACTAATCCAAATTTGGGGGATGGGGGGTGGGGTGGAGGCACACCAGTAATCGATGACATTAGGCAGAAACCATGTCAGCTTAGCTGTGACAACAAACTGGGGAAAGTGGTATTATAATGCCACTCCAGCTATCAAGCAGATTAAAAGTGGAGCAATAGGCCAATTATAAACTCCAAAAATGTGAGCACACTGTCAAACCTTACCAGGGCAACATTTAAAAAGTGATTTTAATATAAGGGAAGCTTTTTAAAAAATTGTTTTGGTCCAGTCATATCCTTAAATATGAGATTTTTGTGAAAGAGCAAAACTGGGAGAAAAAGTGCCTCATTTTGTGGGCTTCAGCCGGACAGTCTTCCCTGACCAGCAGCTCTCCTCCTTTGCTGGGAAATTCTGCTCAGCATAAAATCGTGACGGGGAGAATCTGACCAACAACATGATGCAGCCCAGCTCTGCATGCAGCCTCCTGTGTAAACCAGTCTTTAAAAGCAGGGCAAGGGGAGATGCTTAACAGGTTCTAACAAGCCCAGCCACCAATTCATTTAGAACAGGGTGCATGTACAGAATCTTACACAGAGGCGCCAGTTTTTTAAAAAAACCACCCTGTGAACAGGTGGCCTGCCCAATCACCTTCCCTCTCACTTCCCTCAAACAAGCTCATACTTCCTTTAGCCAAAAACTGTCCTGACATTTCCCACTCCAAGCCACAGGCTGGCCGACACTGGCCAAGAATCGCCCGGTGAGGTGATCTGCAACCGGCCCCCGTTTTTCATGCAGCAAGGATAACTAAACCCACTCTAAGAACAGAGAGGGAGAGAGTTCTCTTGAGAAGGCAGCTTCCACTTCTTCTAGCAGCAACGACTTCCCAAACAGCAGTTTGTTGTCGGGAAGTAACAGGAGTGACTGAAAGCACTAGCACTGATGCTACAGGTATTCACAATGTCCCTGGACTGATTGCACCTACTCTCATCTTGGTAAGACAGGAGTTATCTGTCTGCAGCACAGTTCAACAGCAGGGCAGCAAAAATGCCTGTGGGAGAAACAGATTCCAGGCTCAGGCCCCTTTTCACAGTCTTTCAGCAAAATCAACACAATATAACACACAAGTAGGATGAGAAGTAAATGGGGAGCAACAGATGGAAAGTAAAGGTTTCCACACTCCACCAATACATCCTCACGCCCTCTCCCTCTGAGCAGTGTTCCGTACTCCCCACTCCAAAGTGCACGGCCTCTCCAGTCTGACCAGCTTCAGTCCATCGAGGGTGTGCATGTCCACTCTGAGGGCAGAGGTGGCAGCCTCTCCCCCAGTTTCCTTCCAGGCTGGAGCTTCAGTTTGAAGTGGCAGCAATAGGCTTGTCCAGTTCAAGATCAAGGCTGGAGCTAGCAGGATGCAAGCTGCTGTAGCAGGATTTGCAGACCCGGCTCGGTTCGAAGAGCTGCTGGCTGGGGACCGGCACCTTCTGGTTACAGCAGCTGGAGCAAAACACATTCCCACAATTCCTTCAGTCAGGAACAGGAAGAAAAGAAATTAAAATATATTTGCAACTCAGGAGTGCCGTTTGCACAAGAACAGTACAAAGACTAATGTATTGCTTGCAAAAAAGGGGGTGGGGGTGTTGCCAAAAAAACAGAGCTTGGGCAGAGGAAGGAAAGAGCCCTCCCTCCAGCAACTTGCAGTGGATCAGAGCACCATGGATGATGATGTTGCTATGATGCCAGCCAAAAGCAGGAGTGGGGACCTGGAGGAAGAAAAAGGATTATACCCCTTAAATTTTGGGCTACTGAGGTCTTGTGCACCATGTGTGGGTGCACTGGAACACTTCAGCTACTCCTCCACATTCTCCAAGTGAATGCTTTCTAAGGGTTAAAGGAAGAGAAGTAAATTAAGATCAAACCTGAAAACTGGCAAGCTGGTCACCACTACAAAAATATACAGCAGTGGCATACTGAGCCAGCTGTAGCCCAGAGGAACTACAGCAGTACCATCCTTCAACAGGGAAAGTTTGCGAGTCAACAAGGACCATGCAAAGCCACACAGGTGAGCAGCCAGAGATGACACAGCCCATATGTTTTGAATGATAAAGCAGTCAACACATTCCTCTCAGGTGTCAGTCAGCAGGGCCACACTAGTACATGCACCTTCA